CGTTGGACGAGATGGATGGAACAAAGTCGGAGCCAGAGGAAGGGAAGGATCAGGAGCCGGGTGTCGTCACCGCGAGAAATATCCTGGAGAGTTTCACAGAGAGCCAGGAAGTGCGGGGGCTCATCGGTAACCTGAAGGGAGTCTTTGCGGATCTGGTGGCTCGAGAAATGACAATGGAGAAATTCATAGGTAAGCACATCTTTCAGAGGGAGCGTGTTCATACAGCGCTGAAAGGAATTTATTACCAAAAAAGAACTAAAACGCTAGTTTTGGGTTAGTAATAATGCTAGAACTTTATCAACAGGTAGTTTAGTTTTATTTTTTTCACTAATTTTGTATTTCCAGACACATATTCCATTGTTACACAGTGTTTAACTACTGTAAATAAAACCTCAGGTCTTAGATTTAACAAATCTGAGTTCTGGTCCCTGTTTAGCCTCTAGTTTCCTGTTCAAATGCAGGCAATGATTTACTGAAAGTTTGTATGTCTGTCAAATAAAGCCATTTTTGTACCTGGTTACTTGTTAAAACTGCATACATTTTGAGCTTTTAAGTGGGAATTTCGTATTTTTACTTTTATATTTCATAGGGGAGCTGAATCCATACAGATCATGAATTGTTTCTGAGTGGAGGGAGTTTGTATATGACTTAGCTTTTGTGGCCTATAATGAAAGCCATTCTGCTTATAAGCAGACTATCTATAGACCTCAGCTGAATCTAGAAGGGGTATAAATACCTGCATTTAGCAGTGTCCTAGGTAATTAGCCTGTTATAATGCACACCTGTGTATTGGATCAATATTCTGACCAGGCGGTTTCCAAAAGTTAATAAAAGTTTCACGTATGTACAAATCACATTAAGTGGACTAGCAGTTTGCAAGTACTTTTGCAAAAATGGTGAAATTGCGAAAGCTTACAGGTAAAATATTGATCCAGTGTCAGTGTTTTTGACAGAAAGAAGCTAGGTAGGCAAACAATAAACCAGAAAACCTAAAATTTGGGAATCTAACTCTGCAGAAGTTACACAGTAGTATTATGCTCGATTGATATAACTGAATTCCATCTGGAGAGGTTGATGATGAATGTGTAACTTCAGAAATAGTTAGCAAGAACACTTGTATTGATTGTTCACTGTCACAGGTGAAATGATAGAATTTGATGGGATAGAAAATCCATTACTGCAAAAAATCTGTGTCTGAAAGGCTGTCATCTCCTCCAACCGATCATCTTGCTAGCCTCTGTGTCTTTCATATCATATGTAGTGTCTCTGGGTATTTAAATTGTATTTATGAACTTTAAGCATGCATATCATTGCCCAGTAAATGCAGTGTTCATATACTTAAATCTGATAGGTACTGGACACGTTCACTATTTGCTCATAATATTTAGTGTCATAAGATGTCATTTGATCCTTCTTGGGCAAAATGTCCCAAGTCTGGTAACACACTAAATGTGTGGGATATAATGTTGAAGCTTCAGGAATACCTTTAATCTGTATGCAGATGACACAGTAATCATTGCTTACAGAGGATTTTAACACAGGTCTCCGAAGCATTCACAAAAACCTGTGATGCTCATTTTTTGTGAACTGTTAGAATCAGGAGTTTGGAAGAGTGTTTAATCTGCAACTGTAATTTTGTAGGAAAATATAGGAAGATCTTTTTTTGAAATAATAACATTAGAAGAACTTTTTTCAGTTCATTCTCTTCAGCATGAGATTTAGGGTTTTATTTTAGATTGCCAGACTGTGATCTGGGAAAGCATTTTGGCCAGATAAGGAATTTACTGTTGAAATCCACTTCTGCTTGAGAACCATTGCTTTGAGTGTTGATGGAATTTCTTGTATTCACTATTTCTGTTATTTGTATGCAGCTTAAGGTATCATTGGTTACAATAGGCCGTTAGCGATGATTAGGAGCTCAGGCTTTCCTCTTGATAGGAGACAGCACTATGGTATCCCAATGGAATTGCACAAGTTACTGCAAGGATACTGTTGGACTGGCTTGTATCTTGAAAGCGGTTGTGCAGTGTCATCCACTGGTCAACTATAGCACTGTTGAAGTTAAGTTATGTCATAAATCTAAGTGTTGATGTGACAAGAAGAGAAAAGGGATAGAGAGCAAAACTGTTTGAGAGAGAAAGAAATGCAGGAAAAGGAGAGGTTAAGAAGGTATTTTAGTTTTCTAATTAAAAAGCTATTTTCTGACAATATCTAAAATGACCCAGGCAATCTCCAGCACAACACTGGATCACTTGATGATCCCTTCTGAAATCCAACTTCATTTCTGTAGCTGCTTTTCATTGATTCTAGGTTTAAATTGAAATGCTTTTGTTTCTAAAAACTGTGGCAAGTTGTTCCTATTTTTTCTGAATATTCAATTTCAATTTGTCTTTCCTCAAGTCAGTTCCCAAAGGAAGATAACGTATTACTGTCAGCAAGATAAAATAAGGAAAGTGAAGAGTTTTGAGGAGCACAGATAGTAATAGCTACATTTTGTATTTACCCAGGTTATAGTTTGTCAAGGATTATTTGTACTTTGCTGAATAATTTCCCATGTTCCATTTAAAAATAAAAAACTATCTCTCAGAATTGTCAAGAGCACCTTCACTTGTGAAGTGGTACTATGTTGTTTTTTTTTCTGCTATGGTCAGGTGGCTCAAAACAAAGATATAAGAATTTTGCAGTGCCTATACCCTGTTTTGGTACAGATCCTCAGTGGTGGAATGCTATCTTTAAATGTGTTCCAGGCCCGGGAAGGAAGATAGCCTCATGTGTCCAGGGAGAGTTTCCTCATGGCTGTGTTAGCCTCGGGGTTAGAAAAGTGTCACGCTACTACACTTCTTGGTGCTGAGATATCTTTGTGTGTGTGTGTGTGTGTTTTTGAAGACAATCAGTAATTTGGCATGCTAACAAATAGAATAGTGTGTAAGTGGGATTCCATATGCTGATGAAGATGTGAAGAGCAAGGCAGAAAGGTGTAAAGCAGCATTCTGGTTGCTGTGTGGGTAGCAGTGCGGTGTAAAGCTGGTACACCTGGAGCAGCTACAGTCTGTACTGGTTTAATATTGTCCTCTGTTTGCAGAGTTCCATCAGAAATGGTGTGCTGGCTAAGTTGTGCTTAGGAAAGGAGAGCCACAAAGAGCTCTGCAGTGAAGGACAGCAACAGACCGAGTGGTTGCTTGTTTCATCTAGCTGAGGGATCTGTCCACAGTAATTCGAGAGATTCCTGGGAGACAGTTTATCATTCTATGTAGGTAAATGATTGAACTACAGAAGTGGACAGACTATTTTTGTAGTTATTTCTTTGTAGTTTTCTTACTTTTTGACCATGCTTACAATGTTTTCCCAAAAGTGGGATCGCTTACTTGGTGTGTGAAATGCCAATATACACAGAGTCGAGGTATTTTATTTATTTGCTATTTTGTGCAAGATAGGGTACTAGGTAGTAGCTCTGCAAAGCTAGCACACCCTTGTTCTGTATACATCAGATAAGATACTTTTCACAGAACAAAGAAATTACTTTTCATTGGTTAAAAGTTGCTAAGTGATGTTATTAATTAGCACTTTGTCTTCTACTGCTCAAATTGTCCTCGCTTGCTATGTAAGTTAGCACGTATTCTTTGTGAGGGTGTCTGGGGGGCAAGTCTTTTTGGCCCTGAATTGGGTTGGTGGTCGTGATCTCCTGCTGCCATCTTTACCTTTCCCCAGTTACTGTGAAGAACTGCTGGCTTTGTGCTTCTTTTGGTCATCATCCACCTTTTGGTGCCTTCTGGTCAGGATGTACCCTTTATCAGTCTTTTACTTCCCCTTCAAGGCTGAAGTGGTTAGTAAGGCACTCATTGTTTCTGCAAAGTCCTGTTGTTAACTCTTATTGCACGAGCTGCTAAACCTTGTCTGATGAGTGCCAAATCCTCCCGCAATACATTCAGCGAGTCCCAATGCCATCACAGCAGCAAACTCTGACTAGTGCTGTACACCAACAGGTGGTGGCAGCACTTTGCTCAAGGATATTGAAATCTGAAGATAAAGCTGGAATCAGAGGTGTATCTCACAATTAATGCCTGTAAGGGCCTTTAATTTGGATAGCTTATCCCAAATATCTTTTCCTTTTTCAGGTATAATGGACAAGTACCAGGAGCAACCTCACTTGTTGGATCACCACTTAGGTAGGAATGTCATCTTTAAATAGTTTTTTGTGTATATACTTCAAAATCTGTTAAACTAGAAGGTCCATATTTGCATTACAAGATTGCTGCGGTTGATATTACTTATTTTATATGATCACTCTCTACTTCTTTATTATTAAAGCTATGAGAAACTGTAAGCTAACTGCATGTAGTCTCACTTTTTTTTTTCTCCTTTCATTAGAGTGGATGCTGAATTCATTGTTGGATATAGTACGGGACAAGGGATCTCCTCCCCCACTAATTCACCTGGCTTTTAAATTTCTTTACATCATTACAAAGGTAAAAACGCGCAAATTTAACATTCTGTGACTGAAGTGGGTAAGTTCCCAATATTTTTTTAGTTGTTTGAATAACTTTTAAAAATTTCACATTTTCAAAAATAGTAAAATAAATAAATAGTTGTCCAAATAATGCAATTAAATGTTATAAACTGTACTGTGAAAGGTTAGTTCTGTTTTTCGTCATTTTCGTGATAGCTGATGCTATTTAGTGACCCAGAATACTAAAAAGAAAAGTCTGAATGCAAAAAAAAAATTGCAGACATTGAGATAGTGAGTGATAAAACAGGAGTCATAAGGTCACAAAGAAGAGTAAAGTATGATGAAGAATTAGATGGATTGTGGAATTTCCATCTGAGCATAAGAAAACAGTTTTTGACTCTGAAGGTTGAACCCTGGAATAGATTGCTCAGGGATGGAGACCCCACAACCTCTCTGGACGTACTGACGACCCTACTGACTACCTGTGGTCCTGGGCAGCCTGCTGCAGGTGACCGTGCTGTAGCAGGAGAGTTGGACTAGACCATCTCCAGAGGACCCTTGTTTTAAAGTTAAAGAATTATCATTCCATTAATTCTTCATAAGTTTGTAGAAATGCAAAAATCTTAAGGTACTTTTAAGACCTTAATTCATATCCTTACTGTACTTACTGCATGAGGATCATATACAAGAAGCTCCTCAAAGGCTCTTTTCTTTTTTTCTTAGTACTTGATGATGCCAGATGGCTTTCTAAATTTTGAAACTTTCTGTTATAGGTGAGAGGGTACAAACGTTTCCTCCCACTGTTTCCTCATGAAGTAGGTGATCTACAGCCTGTTTTGGATATGCTTGTAGACCAGAATCCAAAAGACTCTGAGGTGAGAACTTGCTGTACTTTTTGTTTGACTATTGTATCTCCTACAGAAAAAGCTAGTGAACAATGTAAGAAAAAAAAATCTGGAAAAAAGTGTATAAAGCAGTGATACACTCTGTCTGCTGTTAACTGATCATCTGGATTTAGTATGAAGGTCATCTTGTCAGAAGAGAAATGTCTTATTGAAGGGGAGATCTTGTGTTTTTCTTTCATGGAGTATGTGCTAAGGATTTAGAAGTGATGCTGCTTTGGGTGCAAGTAATATCTTTAACCAGTCGTATAAGGGAACAAATGAATTGAAACAACAGTATGAGAAAGGCAGTGAAAGATACTGAACTTCTAAATGGAGTAACTGAAAAATCCTCCTCCTGCTATGCATATAATTAATGGTCCTATTTAGCTTGAAGTCATAAAAGTAAAATCACAGGAAAATGAGTATTTCAGGTTTTATGTATTTATTCGTAATTTTAATATGAACAGGCTGTTGTTAATTTTCTTTGTTTAATTTCATGAAATGTTTTATTCTTCCCCAACCTCCCAATACCTGTCTTCAGATCTGTGAGGATGTTTTGGATTTTTTTCCTTTTCTTTTGAAAGGAGGGAGGTGAAGATTGGAGAAAATTGCACAAGTATGCTATGAGGCATGAATTGCTTTGATTTTTGCCTTTTGGTAATATATTCCTGGGCGTGGAAAAATAAGACAGAATTTCAGACTTTTTGTATACGTTTGGTGTTTGAAAAGCACAGTGTGGCAGCACTTTATTATGTGTCCTGATTCAAAGTTTTATGTGGCTGGGAATGTTCTAGATAAGTATTCAAATAAAAAAAAAAAAATTTAAACCAAGAATTTTTAAACGTGGATTGAGATCATAGAATGTCTTAAGTTGGAAGAGACCTATAAGAATCATTGAGTCCAACTCCAGGATACCGTAGTTCGTATTCTTATTTTATTGAATAGGGAAGAATAAGACTTCCAGAAGGTTTATTAAGATAGATGAATTTTAAGAGAGGTCATAATCTGTTGTAAGTAACAGAAATCATGGATATGAAGACAATAATTGTATTGCTACTCTAAACTAAAATAATTTTTTAATAAACATTATCACTTCTGACCATGTTGCTGTTGTTGTAATGTAGTTGTACAGCTTTAAAGCTTGCAAAAGGTTTCTTGGCTGTCTGTCTCTCAAAACACATCTCAAGTTGTTTCGGTAAACCCATGAAAACAATACGAAAGGAATTAGGAAGAAGAACATATTTCTCTCGTATTTGTGACTTGTAGTTCTGTCTCCTGTGGTGTTTCAGAGCATTCAGGTTTGGAGTTTTCTCTTTGTCACCTTACTTTGAAAGTTCCTTGGAGCTAGTGGATAGTTGTGCTGCAGATGCTTTTTTGGAATATGTTCCAGAAAATGGAGTGCATATATTGTTTTACCGTTCTTTTCCAGACTTGGGAAACACGTTATATGCTTTTATTATGGCTCTCCATGATATGCTTGATTCCTTTTGATCTGGCCCGTTTTGATGGAAATGTTATTTCTGAGGAAGGGCATGCTCGTCTGCCAACAATGGATCGCATCCTTACGGTAGCAAAAGTAAGTGTAATACGTCTTCTAATACTTTCAAACCTCTGATATTTTTCTTAGGCTTAATCTTTCAATATATAATAAATAATGTCTTTTCAGAATATTATATAAGCCCATATTTTCAGTATCTAATCTGTAAGGAATTTCTCCATAGTTTTGGAATCTTCAGTATGTTCTTTGCTGCTTTAGTGTCAGATGAGACTGTTACTTGTTTTCCCTGAAATAGTAAACTATCTGATATGAATGCATGCTTTTGATTATGTGAACAGCTTCTAGTGTTTGAAAATACTAGCTATCTTTTTCTGAAAGGCAAGTTTGATGATTCATGTAAGAAATTAGCATTTCATCAGGATGAGTAACATTGGAAGCTATGACTGCATGAAGGATTTTCAACAAAGATGATAAAATTGCACTAGGCATAAACCGAAGTGGCTAACTTGACATCCTCTTAAGATAAAGATAAACAACAACCCCCTAGCCACAAAATACCTGAACTTGTGCTACAAAGCTTGTGCTTTTGACACTTGCAGCATGTGAGTTATCACTTGTAGGCATGCAGTAGCGCAAATATGACTGCAAGTTAAGGTTTCTGTAAAGGTAGACTTGCTTTGAAAGACACTAGAAGGGAGACTGTTGTTTGAGATACTGTTTGATAAATGGGAGATTTAATTTGTTACAGTCTTAAGCTCAGTTTGTAATCATGGTTACATAATATGTGTAACCATAATAAAGTTCGTAATAATAAATATTAAGTGGTATATTCATGTACAAAGTTGTTAGTTGCTGTTAAATCTACGTGTATAAATTCTTTTACAGTTAGTTTTCTTTTACCTTTAGTGTTACTTGGTTGTCAGTGATAAGGCTCGGGATGCAGCTGCTGTACTGGTTTCAAAGTAAGTCTCTTTTATGCTTCTTAGCAGAAAGCAAAAATGCTAGATTCCATTTCTCCTGCCATTTTTCAGTCTGACATGCTACTAAGGACAGCATTGGGAGAACTGGACGTTGACAGCTGTATTTATGTGGGATGTTAAAATTGCTTGAATCAAATCCAGTAGTGTTTATTATTGGAAATGCTGTGTTTTCTTCTGCTTACTAGAGGAAGAGGTATTTGTCACAAGTGATAAAGATCTTCACTGATAACAGGATACTGTTCAAATGGCATTCTAGCCACTGTTTTGTGCTACAGGGTTTCAGAAAGATACAGTTGGGATGCAAAAATCAGCAGCAACACAAAGTAACTGTATGACTGTGTGACTTTCTTCATTCTCTCATCTGGAAAACAATACTGTTTTCTTAGGTTCATTGTTGTCAAATAATTCATCAAATGAAATGTGTAGGATAATTGAACTTTCTAAATCCTGTTGGTTTTGGTGTTCAGACACCGGAAAATTTGTGACAGAGGTGCAGTTCTGACTTTTTTTTGCATTAATTCAGTAATACTGATGCTAGGGTTGTTTATAAATTTGAAATAACGAACTTTTGTATCTCTTCTTTCCTCTCCTAGTGCATTAGTAGAGATTGGTTTCATTTGTGATGCATATGAAGATAAATTACAAAGACCATAAACTGTGCTAGTACACGTGAATCTTTTTTTCCAGTAGATATCACAGTACACATTACAATATATTCTAGCATAAGAGGACTTTTAGTCAGCTCAGTTTGTCATTTGGGGTTTCTTTTCTCTTTGTTTTTAAAGCAAGAAAAACCCCAGAATCTCTACCTGAGCATATACTCTATCTACACTAGGGGGCTCTGCCAACATAGTTTTGCAGTGCAACTGTAGGAACAGAGGCTCTATAGGGTGAATAAGATGAAGTTACGATAGTGAATGTAGGTAGCTAGTCTGAACAATAAAATCTGTGTTATTTTTCTCTGGATTAAGAGGCACGCAATTTGTGGGATTAACTGTATCAAAATAGTTGTTAAATAGAACATTTAGTAGAGCAGATCCTAACTCTCTTTTTGGGAAATAACTGTGTACTTATTTTAGATTTATTCTGAACTTCAGTCAAGGACTTGATGCTTTAGAAATTTGTATTTAATGAGTATAGTGCTAGAGTTTTGAATCTGATGCCAGAACATGCAGATGTCATGCAGAAAATTAAGGAAGCAGTTGAGACTGGAATCATAGTTCTCTGGTGACTAGTCCTGTACTTTTCTGATTTACTCTGAAATATATCTTTAATAAATAATCTTGCCTGTTACATGCTTATTTCCATGTGACAGAAAGTAGGTTTGTCGTCTTATCCTAATTAGTTTTTGCAGTCATTTTGGAAGTGATAATTGGAAGTTGCTTTTCTAGGATTTTTATGTATCTGCATTGGGAATCTGCCTTATTGGGAATTGAGAGAAGAAGAGGATTTGAGGTGAAAATGTGACACAGAGTGAATTATTCTGCAGCATTCATATGTGCCTGAATGTGCCTTTTATCTTCTTCACTACCTAAAAATGCAGAAAAATACCCAAATCAACCAACTGTGATATAGACTCTTGAAGGTACATCCAGTATTTGGAAGCCTTCTCAAGTAAGGATGACAGTAATTTAAAAATATTGTTTCATCACATTATACTAATTGAATTTGCACTTCATTTACACTCCAGGGTATCTGTAAAACTAAATTACTAATGGAAGCATATATATAGTAATGTGATGGATTACAGCATTGCATTCAGCAGAACTTTGTGTTCATGCAGTGTTCAACCCTGGATTTCAGGGGGATTTCATAAGTGCCTTGCATCCTGATGCAGGGTACTATGCAGGCATGTTATTAGCACTTGTTTCATGTTCTCTTCACCTCCATTTTAATGGCTGAATTAATTTTCATTAAAAGTATATGTTCATAACAAATAAGGTGATAAAATACATTAAGCTGGTTCTAGTAGTAGCTGCATAAAGGTGTGTAAGACTGTAACGGGAGCAAAATTACTGTTTAGTGTATTTATAATTATTTATTATGATTATTTAGTTTATTATGAAAACATCATTTTCAAAGTAGACGAATGATTAAAACACTTCACCAGGAATTAGAAGACCTGGGTCCAAGGCCTTTTGGCACTTGAATTCACTGCTTTCGCATCCCAAAACCATTCTTTAATGAGCAGGCATAGTTATTCTGAGATGTGATCACTGTTTCATCTTCTTGAAGTTAGACTGTTAGGTAGGCAGGAATACAAAAGTCATACGATGGACAGAGAGATAAGATACAGGAGTCTGACTCTGTTACACACCGAGTAGGGAACTGCTTGGGGAAGAAGGGGAAGTCTGGGTTCTGGTTCCTGCTCTAAGGAATTTATGAATTTCAAGTGAAGTTTAGAAACATCATCATCTAAGGCTTCGTGTTTTCCAAAGTAATTTGCTTTTCATAGGGCAAAGGAGCTGGAGTTTGTTTCATGAATTCTCTTTCTGTCCTCTCAGTGACCTCGTTGCAGTAGGATCATTGAATCGTAGAATCATTTAGGTTGGAAAAGACCTTTAAGATCGACTCCAACTGTTAACCTACCACTGCCAAGTCCACCACTAAACCATGTCCCTAAGCACCACATCTACACGTCTTTTAAATACCTCCAGGGATGGTGACTCCGCCACTTCCCTGGGCAGCCTGTTCCAATGCCTGACAACACTTTTGGTGAAGAAATTTTTCCCAGTATCCAATCTAAACCTCCCCTGGCACAACTTGTAGGCCGTTTCCTCTTGTCCTATCGCTTGTTACTTTAGAGAAGAGCCCAGCACCCACCTCACTACACCCTCCTTTCAGGTAGTTGTAGAGAGTGATAAGGTCTCTTCTCAGCCTCCTCTTCTCCAGACTAAACAACCCCAGCTCCCTTAGCCGCTCCTCGTCAGACCTGTGCTCCAGACCCTTCTCCAGCTTCATTGCTAAACACAGGATTCAAGGTGCGGCCTCACCAGTGCTGAGTACGGGGGGACCCTAGTCCTGCTGGCCACACTATTGCTGATGCAGGCCAGGATGCCGTTGGCCTTCTTGGCCACCTGGGCACACTGCTGGCTCATATTCAGCCGGCTGTCGACCAGCACCCCAGATCCTTTCTGCCAGGCAGCTTTCCAGCCACTCTCCCCTGAGCCTGTAGCGTTTCATAGGGTTGTTGCGACCCAAGTGCAGGACCTGGCACTTTGTAGGAGATGAGGCTTGTCCTTATTTTGCTTCTAGCCTGGAGCTTAGGGCACTCCTTTGAGAAACTAAGATTTAAATTCCTTTGGGCTGCAAAAGGGTCTAGGAAACCAGTTCATCTACTTTACAGGTTACTTCTGTTACCTGCGCTACTGTGCAAAAGAAGACTTTGTCCTTGCTGCTCTGTTATAAAACAAACTACCCCCTCAACTAACCCCTCCCCCAAATCGTCATTGTTCTGTTGCTGAACACAGTAGATGGTGACTTTGAAGACAATTCAAGTGGTCTTATGTCTGCTCGCTGTTTCCTGTGTTCTCTGTATTTAATGTTCCCCGTTAGTTGGCTCTTGGTGCAGTTCCCCAGTTAATTTGTAGGTGTATAAAGTAACCAGATACAGGCTCTGCATACATCCTTCTTTAAGTGCTGTGTATTGTACTTTGTGGGCTTTCCCATGTACCTTGTTTCCTTTGATTGCATTGAGAACAAAGTTTTTTAATTTAGTCTGAATCTCTGCTGGAACAAGACCCTAATTTTCAGGTGCTAAGAATACTACATTAGATAACTGAAGCAGATGCCCTAACTGTAGCTTGGCTGGCACTTAGGATAACTGAGTATAGGTTTAGGGGAGTAGTTTAACTATGATGAACCTCTGTCACCCTCTGTAAGATAAGTAAAAATACATCTCTTGACACGTTTAGTGTGTTAAATAACAGCTGTTTGACCTTTTCAAATACCTGAAAAAACAAATATAGTACTGATGAGTACTCTTTATGGACTTGGCTGATAGTGCAGTATGGACCAATTGTTGATTTGCACCAGTTTTCAGACTTGCAGAATGTTCTTGATGAGAATGGTGGAGAATCCTTGTATATGTTTCAGCTTTTCACTTATTCTAATGGAAATAATCTTTATGTGGGACCTTTGGAAATTTTGTTGCTTTACAGTTAAGACGAGTAATCTCTAGAATCCAATACAAGTTTATAGGTTGTTTTGAAGTGAAAATTAAGTTCTGGGTCAGACCCTTGCTGAGAAACACGAGGGCTAAACATCTGATGATTTGGAGTGTTCCCACCCTCAGTGATTTAGGAAAATACCCATTGGAGAATTGTTTTTAGGAACTGCAACCAGTTTGGATAGCAGGAAAAATTATTTTTCATTGAGAGTCATAAAGTTAGTAACTGCAGTGTTTTGCTTTTTTCTGTGACAGATTTATTGTCCGCCTTGATGTCAGGCAAAAAAGGATGGCAGACTTCCTCGACTGGACACTTTCAATGTTATCTAAATCCTCCTTCAAGACCATGGAGGGGACTGTTGTTATTAATGGCATGCTCCAGGCCCTGGTAAATACTGTTTTTCCTTTAAAAGTTAGATGATTGTATTTATGATCATAAAATACTGCTATGGTAGACCTTTAATAGCAGATGCACAGAGAAGTTCCTGTTTATTAAAAAAGGATAACTTCCCATGTATGTATATTTTCTTTAAGTATTCTTGTCATCACCAAATGAAAGTGAATTTGCCAGTATAGACGCTGATAAATAATCACCAATGCTTTTAAATACCTGATTGTATATCGGTAGTAATTTCATAATTCAGAATAAATTGAAAAATCGGAACTGTACAAAATGAAGAGGTTGGGCTTCTCATATAGTAGTGGTCTCCTGGACTTTTCAGAACTGGTAACCAAAGTGCAACTGATTCTTGAAAGTTGTATCCATTCTTCTTCAACTAAAATATTTTATTGATAGTTTTAATAAGACATACTAAACTTGTTAGTGTCCTTCAATAGTCTGAAAAAATGCACTATTTCCTGTGGTTTTGCTTGCTAATCTGCATTAATGCTCCTTACCTTGTGAAGAAGCACTGGTTTATGACTCAAAAAGCTGAATTCTTAGTGTGTGTTTTATGTACTATGCCTGGGAAAAAATCTGCAATGCCTCAACCACTACTATATGATAGCACTCCTCTTGAACATTCGAAGAATATTTTTTATAAAAGCTTTCTTGTAGTTTTACACCCTTAACAGTGTTGGTGTGCATTCTGAAATACTTGAATAACAGTTCTAGTGTCTGTTCCCATTTTGACGTCCAAATATATTTGGGTGAAATGAGGGAGTTTGTGGTGGTGGAGTTGTTCCTTCTTGTTTTTGTTGTTGACCAAAGTTGAGGTAGTGCAAGCAAAGTCAGGTGACATGGTCTTGCACAGTCTTTGCACAGGTTTAAGGATTTGCTGGTGTTTGTAAGAGTTTCTGTAATTTGCATAAATTTGCAGCTCTTTTTAAGTAATTGCTATGAGGACTTGCATGCAGTATGTTACTAAACTTCAAAGCAGAGTTCTGGAACAAGTGTGTGGTGTGTGGGTTTGTTTTTTTCTCTTTCCTCTAGCAGCTCTTCCAAATCAGAAGATACTAGAAATGATCTATATTTAGAATAACTTAGGACTTGCTGCTTAAGCAGCAGGAAGCATTATTTGTATGCATTGCAGTATGTTTCAAAAGATAGAATGATGTTTCATCATTTCATTGTCAGATCTGGAAAGGGAGACTGACTGTTTGCCGTTCTAGGTGCATGATGAGACCTGCAGGATGTATAATACATTAGCGTTTTGTCATAATTCCTTTGAGTTTGGCTTTGGCTCTATCCACCTGTTCATTAGTGCATACTAAGCGAAACAGGTGAATACTTAACAAGTAGAATCGAAACTAGAATGTGATACAATATACCTGGAAGCAGAAGCCTGCCTTCTTGCATTTATACAATTTCTTCCTCCTCTGTGTGATAGGAGAAAGTATTTATCAGGACAATTTTAGTTGTGTCCTATAGCTCATAACTCTTGTTTCAGTTAGTAGGTATGAGCAGACTGAATTTTTAAAGCCTGTTCTTGCATTCAGTCTTCAATTTTTAACTTCAGTTACTAAAATGTAGGCATGCATTCCACCATTAGGGAATACAGGTTTTCAGAATTATAAGTATGCAGGTATGAGTGTATACAGACGTGCTTAAGAGGAGTAGGAAATATTTGTTTCAAGAATTCAATATTAATAATTTTGTAACACAGTTGTAACAATAGCATATTGTTAAACAAAAAATATCAGCTGGAGCTAAAAGCAGTGTTTAGGTAAACCTTTTATCTTAAACATCCCAGACTGTCACAGTCTGTACAGAAACTTAATAAGTAATTGCTGAGTGTGTAAAGCAAAACACATCCTTGTGAGGGACAACTAAAACTTGTGTCAACAAGCTTCAAAATTCTTGAATTTCTCTAGCAATTTGTTACTTTAAGAGTCAAAGTGTAATTGCCTGGGCATTTCTCGTTGAACAAGCAGGAGAAAGAAGACCATTTCTCAGTTTCCGGTCAGTACAGCAAGGCAGGTTTCTGGAACGTATCCCACCAGGGTGGGGATAAAGTCGTCTTCTCTCTCCATCGGGTCAGTTTAGGGCTGCCCCTAACAGGGTGGATTTCAGTCAGATTATGAGGTTATGCTGCTTGTGGCCTGCATTTAGGAAATAGCTTGTAGTGAGACTGGCATGGCAAAACTGTTTTAAAAAGACCTGAAACTCTTGCATTTCAATGAACTGAAACTGCAAGTTAGGTACGCAATGAGTAGTTCAACGTTGCTGCACTTTGATCTGCCTCTTCGTGGCCCTGAGTCTTGGTGATTAGGTATGCTACTGTTTAATCTAACTCAGCATTATGTGTAGAACAAGTACTACTGTTTCATGGTTCTTGTTGAAACATGCAGCCTGCATTACACATTTTAATTCCACTGATGCTTTTTTCTTTTTTTTCTTTACACCTGTCGTCAGTAATATATCATTTCACAACAGGTGTGCACTAAGCAGGAATCTTTGCTTACAGTATTTCAGATTTGGTTTTTAAAACTACCCTCTTTTGTTGAAACTAACACCAAAATATTGAATTAAATTTGCTTTTGTGCTTGGATACTTTGTATATTTGGAGGATTACAAATGTTGGGTTGGATTGTGTTGGATTAATAAGAAATTGCTACATTTTTTATAACATTTGTTTACTTGAAGGAAACTTCTAACCTGTTTCATGAATCTGCATTTTAAATTCTCTTGGTCTGGAGGTTTGCTTTTAAACCTGCCATTATATCAAACAGCTTTTTAGTTATTGCTGCAGGGTGTAGCACTCCCAGTTCTTGCGTGACAGAGATGTCATCATGTTGAGGTAGCCTTGGGCATTGAAACTTATTAAACCTTATTTGTTTTATAAGTGATTCAGTATACAAGTGTGAGTAATAATTAAAAAAAATAAAACGCCCTACACAGTGATCTGATGAAACTCGAGAGTCTTAAGAACAGGGCATTTCCCTGAGCTGTCTCTAATGCAAAAGTTATTTAGCAATAGCTACATGCTTATGTAAATTTTGCTTCAGGGAAGAAAGAACTCTCTAACTCTATTCTTTCAGACCCAGAGGCACAAAAATAGAATATTTCCAAATAGAATATTTCCCAAGTCTCTATGTTTTTGTCATTCTCAAAGATTTAGCGATGCTAGGATTGTCTATTGGCGTTATTTTTTTAAAAAGGTGTTGTTGTGTAGTGGTTTGGTGATAAAGGTGTACAAAAAGCAGTGTTGATATAAAGAAAAGAAAAAAATTCTTATGTCTGCGGATACCAAGGGCACTGACCCCCTTTCTGGTAGTACAGTATCTCCTCTCTTCCTGAATGCACAGAGTATTCTAACGTGGCCTTGTGAGGTACTTCTCAGGTTTTCCTTCTCACCAGAAGCATCGTGGTTAGTTCAAGGTTCTGAAGTTCTGTAGTAGTCTCTCAAGCTGCTATTTTTTTTTTTCTTCCAAGTATTTAAAATCTCTGGTTTTGAGTAGTCTTGTATGATAGAAAGGAATTACTCTGTTAGCTCTCCATGTGTTAGTCTAAGCTTTTCAGGCTTTCAGCTGATAAATAAGATCTTATGAAAACTGAACTCCTTTTGCCACCTGTTTAACTGGGCTCTGTATTGAAGTTTGTCAGCCTCAGTGCCATGCTGATGATCAATACCCTGACAAATACATGTGGCCTACAGAAGGAGTACTGTTTGTGTTGAAGACATAGTTGAAGAACAAGGGCTTTAACAAACGTGTTTTACCATTAGCTGCACATATAATGGCTTAAGTATTCTCTGCTTCCAAGTGAACTTATTATTCTGACAGCATGTCCTCCCTCACCTTGTTTACCTCCCCACATCTGGCCTAGAGGCAGGGATGGCTGATAGCTTTACGTGGACAGGGATGTTGTGTGACTACTAGGGGGTGCTGCGGAGTAATGAAAGATATCATTGCTTCTCTTCCCATACAGGCTGAAATTATCCTCCCATCCTTGACTTGCTTGGTTACAACCAGAGGCTAGATTCAGACTTGCGTCTCCTGCTCTGCAGGAAGATATACTTGCTACAAAACAGTCAGGCTACCCTTAATGGTGATTTGTATAGCTTGGGGAACATGTCCTGGAGATGATCCTGTTTGATATATCTCATGAAGGTCGGGCTTAAAGTGGGTTATGCAGACAATTGGAAGGTGTGGTGTGTTTCTTCTGTGATTACTAAGAAACTAGGTTTTGTTTTCCTTGCACCATGCTATTTCTAAAGCAAAACCAGACTTGACAGTCGTCATTGCTTGCACACCACTGATTTTCTCTAATTTGTAGGTGGCTTAATTATTTATAAGAGAGGGAGTCACATACCTTTCAACAGTCCAACAGGTAGGGCAAGTTGGTGTATGCTGTCTGTCCTCATTAAAGGGAAGACACCATGGCGTAACTGTGATTGCCTGGATACTCCAATAGACAGGCTCCTTACTTTCAGTGTTGTTAGCTGCTGACACTAAAATGGCTATGCAGGTGGCAAACCAAGCTTATTAATTATTTTGTTTGTATCAGATTTTTTTAAATGGTGTGCCTTGGCTGTTTTTTCTTCCTTCAAGGCAGGAAGTTTAACCTGAATAATGTAATGCCGATTTATCCTTTTTTCTATATTTTTTTAATGTTTTCTGTTCATGCATCATGTACTCTTCTTTTTAGTATAAGCCCTGCAAGCTCTAGATATGTAGGACTTTTTCTGAGACGGTAACTTTGCCTTATATATGCATGATTGTTTGTAGCACATGCCAGAAGAAAATATATAAACTCCCCCTCATCACCCCCTGCAAAGGCCAGCATCGGTTAAAGTGCTCTTTTATTTTCCCTGTAAAATATATCAAGATCAAAAGTTTGGGAAATTTGGGCTTGTGAGTTCTTTTGCATGCTTTTTCTCCTGAAGAAGTAATGAAAACTTATTTTCTTGACATTTTGAAGTATCACTTGCTGAAACACCAATAATCTTGGTAGATGGTTATATCTGACCTGCAGTGTAGATTAGTGGGTGCAAACAAACTTTTTTTCCTTTCAGACATTTGGCATTTTCAGCTGTGTTTATTCCGAGATCAGTAGGTAACATATTCTGTTGAACAAAACCATGTAAATATTAAGTCCCTTTTTTTCCAAGTTGAGTTATTAATTTAAACAGAGTAGCTATGATGTTCTTTGGTTAATTTTTTACTTCCCTTAAAAACTTGCATCGATAAAATAAAATCCCTTAATCCATATCTCAGTTAATTTACAGCAGTTGCTATGATTTTAACATCTGAAAGTATATTATAAATTCTTGCAGTATTTTGTTTGGGAATAGATGTTCTGTCTTGAAAATTAGATATGAAAAGTTTGTTATTCAAGTATGTAGTGAAACTGTTATAGGGAAACAATGTATGTTTCACATTTTTGTTCAGAAAATAATAGAAATGTGTGAAGAAGAAACTGACTCATAGGCAAGGGTGGCTGTTTTATTACTTCTTTTAAGAGAAGCATTAAAGAATTCTTGTACAATATTTGAAGATTTTTCTCATTCCCTGCTTGTTTGTTGGTTAATTTCTTCCCACGTCTTGCTTAGAGGTGATACCTTCCAGTTATGCTTTTTCTGAGGAGTCACATCTCAGTTCAAAGTTGGCCTTGAGGATGTGAAAGCTCACAGAGAAACTTGTAGAAAGGTGCTAGCATGTAGGAACTACGTAAGACTGAAAATGCGTAGATGTTTTGAGGGTTCTATTCCATCTTTGCAGGAGCTCCCAGACAGTACACTGAGAAGCATGAGGGTAGGCAGCCTATGTGTGCCTTAAAATCAGTGTTTAGTTTGAACTGGGCTTCTCTACAGAATGGGGAAGTAACTGGAGATCAGGTGC